AATTATATAATTAATCTCACATTTTAATTATTTAATTAATTTTTATATTCCACTTTTATATATATATATATATATATAAGGCACCTTCTTATCAATTTTAGTGTGTATGTCTGGAACAATTTCCGAGTAGTAATAATTAGGGTTAAACTAAAGTAATTATGTAGATCAATGATTAAATTAATTGAACAAAGCTGTCTTCTTAATTAATTAATGCTTGACCGATTAATCGCAGGGGCTTGACCACGTGGCAAAAGTCTACCCAAGTGTCTCTCACGTTAATTATTACTACTCATGTTTTCTTACCTTAATATAGAACATGCTTAATTAATTTCTTTTTAATTATTAGTATTTTAATTTAAAATTCGACTAATTATTTTTTAAAAAAATATTTTTTTTAATAATTCTGCAAATATTATGTTAGAATTTTTAGTGATTATTATAATTTATAACATAATTTAATATAAAAAATATTATAAATTAATTTTTTATAATAATATGTATATAAACATAACGGTGAAAAAATCGCACGAAACAGGAAATATGAAGGTGTTCATCAGATGCGGTTTCGAATTTTGTCCGCGGCGGCGCCGCCGGGCTCTACCTACGATTTCTAGTTCATCTGTTGTTTCTTTTGCTTCAATTTAGTCATAGATGTGCAATTTTTACCTTTTTTGACGATCAAAGGTGGCTCCAGCGCGACAACGAGTAGCAGTCAGCTCTCTTCTTCGGCGACTTGTAATAACTGAATTATTATCGGAATAAATAAATAAATAAATAAATAAATAAATAATAGTAATAATATATATAAATATAAGAGGGGAAGAGTGAGGAAGGATGGTTCAGATTAAGGGATGGGAATGGACAATTGGGATGATTTAGCATAGTAGGTATAAATAGGATGGAAAAAAAAAAGAAAAAAATAGGGGGAGAAGAGAGAAAATGAGGCAGTCGGTCGATGATTTGAGAAAAAAGCCAAAAAAAGAAGGAGACGAGAAGAGAGAAGAGAAGGCAGTCAGTTAAGGACTTGAGAGAGAGCCAAAGAAGGAGGAGACGATTAAAGATTGAGTGAGTTGGGGTTGTGTTGAGGACAATGGAGACAAGAGGTATTGCAAATTCGAATTTCAAACACTGAAATGGAAATTGTAGTTAAATTTCAATCCTGGAAATGCATACTTATGTGTTAGATGATAGGGATTTGATCACAGAGAGGATAGGGAGCCGTAAAAGAGAAATGACTCTTCTATGAGAGTAGGTTAGGAAGTGAATAGAGAGTGGGAAGTTTGGTAGGCAAAAGCGTAAGAGTATTGTACAGGAGGTACAAACGGGAATTGTAAAGGAAACAATTGTATAACTCTATATTAGTATATATATATATAGTAGAATATTATGAGCAGGAGAGGAAGTTCGAAGGATGTAGGAATTATGCAAGGAAATGTATAAATATGTAGGGCATACCGAACAGTCACAAAAAAGAGTGGAAGCTTAGAGGCTGCTAAGGTTATGCTGTGAATGGATTTGTGAACAAGATTGTGACAGTGGAAGCTGTAACGGCCCCGAAAATTTAGAATGAAATATGTGTAGTAAAAATGTCAAATGCGGAAGCGTAATAAAAATTTTGATTAACATCCCTTACACTAAAACCAAAAACGTGCTCAAAGTATAAAAGAACAAACTAACTAAAAGAGATACTCGAAAATAAGAACTATAAATATAACTACGGAGTCCTTAGGCGTCCCCTTCGCCGTCTTCCTGCGGAACGGGCTCGGGAACAACGTCTTCCTGATCTGAAATGGTTAAATAAGGAGTGAGCTACACCAGCCCAGTAAAGACATCACATTATTTCACCGCCACGGAAGTAAATGTGGGTAGAAAACTCAAAAGAATAATGGTGTAGCACCCGGAAAGGAGGAGAAAAAAAAAAAAAAAAAAAAAAAGGGCGGCCACGTCAGCAGCCACGTCAGCAGGCCCGGTCAGCAGTCCCGGCCAACCAGGGCCTGCCACGTGGCAAGACCGCGTCACTCCAAAAGGAGCCACGCTGGCGATCCGCGTGGGTGCGATCCGACGGCCCAGATCAATCACGCGATCGGACGGCCAGATTCAATCGCACGGACGGCCCAGATTCAATCAAAAACGAACGGCCCAGATTAAAACAAAATGAACGGCTGTGATCAAAAGGCAAGGGGTTATAAATAGAACCTCCACACCAGACCACAAACCCTAGCCGCCAGCCGCTCGCCGGAGAAGACTAACCAGAGGCCGACCGCCGCCACCCGCCGCCACTCGCCGCCGCACCGGGGAAATTTCCGACCGCCGATCGAGGTAAATTTCATACCCCCGACTCGTTTTTCCCCACTGATTCCTCCTATGGCCAAATCGAAGCCGAAATCCCGGCCAAACGGCCGGAATACGCGGCCGAAGCCCAGCGGCACCGCCGCGCCCCCTCTCGGTTTTTGCCTCCGACGAGGCCCTTCCCGGCCTCCGTTCGATGCAATTTTTATATCACCGTGATCACCATTCTTTTCTCTACAGGTTGACCGAAGCCAAATCACCA